AATACTATATCATAGAACAGTGCCAGAGACGATCTGCACATTTCGGTCGATTTTTGTAAATTAACGCCTACCGGTTCCCTACGTCTTGAGACAACGCACGCGGCGCACTGCCTCAGGTACGACGTATCTGTAACGCGATTAGGTTCCGTGCTTCCTGACTGCCAAATATCAATACTTTAAACGTGACCTTTAAAATCTTTTTCTTTTTAATAATTAATTTAGTAACAAAGTTTTAAAATTCTCGATTATTACATTTACGATATAAGAATCCTAAAATATTATTAAATTATATTCGATAAATTAGATTTGTTAAATATTCCAGAGACTCTTTCTAATTTATAAATTAACAAATAATTGTTAATTTAAAGTTTAATAAAACGTTTTTATTAAAAGCGTCTTAAATCGCATTTATAAGTATTAATTGTATTAACTGAACAATTATATCAATTATATCAATATTTCAAGTACTTATAGACGTCCTTAACAATAAAAAAGTTAATGTCAATAGAGAATAAGTTTATATAATTGAATGAATTAAATAATTAAAGTTGTAATAATTTTATATTTTTATTTTTAACATAAAAGTTGTGAGTTATTATTATAGTTTGTCTTAATGTAAATGATAAAAAAAATCTTAATTAGAGGGACGAGATTCGGATACCTTCATACATTTTGTATGAAAATTGGTCATTCTGCATTCGTTTACTTTTTTTAATGATTCTAATGGTTTATTATTAATATGAGGTACCTTCAAATGTACATAAAAATTTATGAGCTGTGCCACGTGCGGTGCCTTAGATTCAATATCAAATGACGCACCGCGAATAAAGATAAGAACACACTTAGATAAAGCATATATATATTTTTTTTTTAATGTGCTGACGAGTTAGTCACTCCCGAATTTATTATGAGCAGTATATTATAAAAATATACTCAATCAAAGTATTTTCAATCGTTTATTCAAACCGAAACAACGCCATGGCTGATTCAAGACAAGTTCAAGTTCAAGAGCAAGTTTATTCTGCCACCCCAAGAGTTTGATTGTAAAGGTGAAAGTGACTGAAAGTGAAAAAGCATTTGTTGTTTCTGATAAGGAAGAAGAATACGTTCTTACAGTTGAGCTAGCTGAAACTGAAGTATCTGTTGCTGAGCTAGAAAGTAAACTTGAAATTGAGAAAGACTTTAACGACAACAATGTTGAAGACTAGCTGATGAATTTCTTGCAAAAATGGTACATGTTGGAGTTCTGGTCGATTCCCTCAAGGAGCCATCGAGGTGAAATATTGTCACCTCAACGAGATGGTGCAGCAAATTGTGGCAACTTATATGCTACTGAAGTATTAGCGGAGCGCACCTTTTGTTTATTAGATTTCCACGCGATTGGATTTCCATTTAGAAGTACTATCATGCCACTATAAGAGTGCCTGTCGTCTATATCTGATGCCCAATCTGTATCACTAAAAATCTCGATCTCATTCGCACTGCAATTGTATACTAAACCAATATCATTGGTTGCAGCCAAATATCTCAGTACTCTCTTAGCTTGTAACCAATGTGCTCTCTCGGGGTTAGAGCTGAATTGTGATAATTTCATTACCGCCATATAATATATCTGGGTGTGTCGCCAACGCTACATACATAAGTGATCCAATTAACTGTTTATATGATACTCTTTTTATTTCGTCTTTTTCAGCATTATTGTATGGAGTGTCACGTTTCGATAACATTATCCCTGGATCGATTGATGTTTTACTTGTTTTACAATTATCTAATCCATATTCGCTTAACAATTTCTTTATATACAGGGTCCGCCACCAAAATCCGGACAAAATGAACAATATGTTTAAACAACATTCTATTCGTCAGAATGTAAAAATTACAAAAAAATTTTTTGTACATCACTAGTGGTATCCTTTTAGAGTAAAATTACTCTAAATAACTGTTACAAGTAGAATTTCGTGTTTGGCGCCCTCTCAGCTTGGCGCGTGACAATCGGTGCGCATGGGCGTCTGCTATGCAATATCCAAGCGTAGTAATACTGTATCTTTATTATTATCTTTTTCGCAGTTCCTTTTGAGTAGTATAGTTATCTTTCCTTGAACTGTATTCTTGTACTCTCAGTGCGTATTATTATTATCAGTGTTGTACGTGCATAAATATAAGTTTTTCTTTCTTGATATACAGGGTGTCCCATTATAAAACATCCACGCAAATTACTCCGAAGATAAGGGTGATAGCAAAAAATGACCTTAACAAACGTTGTAGGATTAAAAGGGGGCCAACTGAGGGTGACCTTGACTTTGACCTCGCAGTTGATTTTCAAGGTCATTTAAAGGTCAGAGTAATTTTTTAAAATAAAAACCCCTATTTTTGATTCCAAAATCTAATAGCTGGTGTCAAGAGCTTTTCAAAACACTATAATGAAGTTATTTTTTATTAAGTACTTTTCGAGTTATGAGGCTTGTAAATTACAGTATTTTGACATAAAATACAAAATATCTTGTAAAACATTCAATTTTTGGGAATTTTACCTTAATACTTTTATGCATAAAATAATGACACGAATCAATTGGTATAAAGAAAACACATTGGTTTTAAAAAAAAGTATGCAGTTGCATGTTGCA